GTCACAATTCCCCAGGATGTCATTGTGAGGCATTTTTTAGAGTATACATTTTTGAAGTAGGTCTTTAAGTATACTTTTCTACTTATAAGTCAGCTGTTTTCACCATGTGCTCTGAGAACTTCTGGGTTCCCTGAGACCATTTCAGGAGATCTGTAAGATACTTCTTCTTTTCAGCTATCTATTTATATGAGGATAACTTTTTTCATGTACTTTAACCAAAACAACATATTGCAATAGAAGGAACACAGAAGCAGATAAGAGAATCTAGCTTTTTTTTTTTTTTAAGAGAAATTTTGCTATAGGGTGTGTGTGCTTGCCAGAGAGACAGAGTCAGAAAGTGTGAAGTCACCCCCTGAGAGGAGAAGGGATTGCAGCATGACCATCCCTGGGGGATGATTTCTTGATTTCTGTCTCTGTCTCTGGTGAGTGCACACACCCTATAGCAAAAATCTCTCTCAAACACACACACACACACACATTTTACTTGTTATCTTTAAAGCAGAAATGTCAAACCTTGAACCATTACTGCTGTGCTCTATTTAGTCATACTTTATAAAAATCTCATTATAGCTAAGTTACCTAGAGTTTGCCGATATGATTCATAGTGGCAAATTTAATGGTATATAATAGCTTAATCTAAAAACTCTAAAATCAATTTTATGTAAGTGTCCTTCAGATTTTTATTTTTTACAATTAAAGTATCAATTCAGAGGCAGAAATACAAAATTTCACCTTTTATTACATGAAGATCACAATGTTGGGACCAGCAGATGACATAGTGCTTACATCGCTAGACTCCCACATGGCTGATCACAGTTTGAGTCCTCTCAGGATTTTGGGCACACACACACATATCCTGTGTGAGTTCTAAACTGCCAGGTCTGGTACTTGAACCATGGTTGAGTACATGGGAATCCAACAGTGTAACCATTATGCCATCTGCTGGTCATGGTCACTGTTTTCTTGATAATTGATGTTATGAGGGAGAGGCATTACTGCAAATGCCAAAGATGGATTCTGTACATCAGCCTGTAGGACTGATGTTGACTAGTTAGGAAGTATCTATACCTACTTATCACTGCAGTAAATTCACTGCTCATCTCTTAAGGTCAAGTGGGCCATACATGGCAATGGTTGGCCTGTGGATGGGAGCCGTTGGGTCTGTGTTCCTGGTACTTATTCCAGCAGTCACTGCTGTGGGCTAATCCTGCTTCCTTTGCAGGAGTTGTGGCACCCGAGTTTTCATAAGGTGGTTTTGGTTACTGCAGGCACTAAACTGACCTATTTAGAAAAACATATACATAATGATTATTTAAAAGGACAGAGGGAATTAGGATAGACTTTATGGTGAGTGACAGTCCTTGAGATTTCTTAAACTGTAGATAATTATTTTTTCCTTTTTGTTCTAAATAGTGACATATTATTTCTTTTTTCTTTTCTTTCTTTTTTTCTTTTTTTTTTTTTTGCTATAGGGCGCGTGCGCTCACCAGACAGAGAGACAGAAAGCGAGAAATCACCCCCCCAGTGGGGATGGCCACGCCGCAATCCCTTCTCCTCCATTCTCCTCTCTGGATCTTGGGCATGCATGCACGCGCGCCTGGCGTGAGTTTTAAGCCACTGGGTCCAGGACACGAACCACGGTTGACTATGTGGAAGTCCAGTGACATAGCCATTACGCTAACTGCTGGTCCCGTGACATATTATTTCTTAGCACCAATTAAAAATTATTATTTCTTGAAGTGGTTACCAGCTGAAAGATAGATCAATTTCTCTTTAGAGTATAGGTTTACAAAAAAGACTCTGTAAGCTCTGAGTTAGTAAATCAGTGGACAAATTATTCTTCGTTTAAAATGCCAGAGGGCACATGCATGCATGAGACAGAGAGAGAGGAGAAAGAGAAAAAGAAAGCACCCCTCGACAAGGCCTGGTCACAATGCAATCCTATGTCTTCTATTTCTCCATTTCATCAGGATCCTGGGTATATATGTGTAAATGCCAGGCATGTTTGTGAGACCCGTGGGCTGGGAGTCCAACTGAGGTTGGCCATGTGAGATCTAGCTCCTTCTGCACAGCCCTTAACTACGTGGTCTACAGGGCTAACCTAAATTATTCGTGATAACTCAAAATGTCTTTCACCAATCTTTTAGAGATAACTTTGACTCACTTGTCTTTAACCAAGTGTAAATCCTTGATTCTCACAGCTTCTTACATTGTCTCATTGGTGAAGTTTGTAAACCATTTCTTAAAGCTATTTGACCATAGCCAACTATTGATAGTATTTTAGAAATACCTACTAATGCTTATATATAATATGCCTAAAAATTTAATTCTTTTCTTCCAGGTAATTTATCCTCAACATTCCAAACTTACTGATAAAGAAGTAAGTAAAAATATTGTTGTGTATGGCCTACTCTTATATTTCTGTTTGTTTTTATCTTGTGTGCGTGTGTCAGCATATATAGCTTTTGCTTTCTTTTTCAGAAAACCAATATTTGCTATTTGTCTTTTCCAGATTCAAATTCAGGTAACTATTTTTCATGTAGTGTTTTCGGTAATTTTACATTAAGAATACTAGCTATACTCTTTTAATATATGAAAATTAATCAGAATAGCATATTAGTAAGTAAATTCAACTTCAGCCCCACAGATGAGTGTTTTTGGATTCCTAGTTTAATGATACCTCACCATGTCATTGTTGATTTTAGTTGGTTCAACTCTTAAAATAACTGTTACGGTGGAATAAAGTAAAACATCAAGGACTAATAAATTATTGATAGAGTGAAAAGGCTGAAAAATCAATGAAATTGGTATGTTTGGAGATTTATAGTGTGTAGTTTGCTTTTAGTTCAGAACTTGGGAACTTGCCAGGAACTCTATGAAAGCAGATAGTTAAAAAAACAAAACAAAACAAAACAAAAACAAAAACAAAAACTAAAAAAAAGAGCAAATCAGTTATGAAGCAAGGCCATCAGTTCTTTGCATTAGTTTATATGGGTTAATAAATGTAAAGCACTTGAAATAATGCTTGATATATTGAAAAATTACACAAATATTTGCTCATTAAGCTTGGTTTTGCTGATTTCTTTCAGACTCCTTTTGTGTGGTCCTAATGGTTGACATCTTTTAGATTACCTCCTGTGTTTTATTTTCAAAACGGATTTTTAGGCGTACAGTGACTGAACATTTAGTTTTTCAGGCCACACACAGTACCCTATAAAGCAGACAAATTCCAGTTCTCTTTCTTTTGTGGTTACCTCTTTTTTTTAAAAAATAGTTATTTATTTCATTTTATTTATCATTATTTTTGTTGCTGTTTAATTTCCTACAGGGCACATGTACTTACTAGAGAAAAACAGAGAGAGAGGTTAAGTGAGAAAGCTGGCCGGCAGGTCCAGGACTCAAACTGGGCTCAACCCTGAGCCATGTGGGAGTCCCTGCCTTACCACCATGCCACCTGCTGGTCCTGTGGTTACTTCTCATATCCTGTTCATTTAGTTCAGTAAACCTGATTGGGAGACTTGACCTTTAACTTTTTTTTAGAGATAAATTTTTGCTATAGGGCATGTGCGCTCGCCAGAAAAACAGACAGAAATCACCCTCTTGTGGGTAGCCATGCTGTAATTCCCTTTTCTTCCATTCTCTTCCTGGGATCTTGGGCATGCGCATACATGCTCCTGGCGTGAGTTTTGTTTTGTTTTGGTTTTTGAGAGGTTTTTGCTATAGGGCGCGTGCACTTGACATAGAGACAGAGAGACAGAAAACGAGAAATCACCCCCTGGGGGGGCATGGCCACACTGCAATCCCTTTTCCTCCATTCTTCTCTCAGCATCTTGGGCATGGACGTACACACACCTAGTGTGAGTAAGCCACCAGGTCTGGGACTCAAATCATGGTCGACTTCATAGGAGTCCAGCGACATAGCTGTTACGCCATCTGCTGGTCCCTCTGGCATGAGTTTTAAACCACTGGGTCTGGAATTCAAACCACAGTCGACTACTTGGGAGTCTAGCACCATTACCATTATACCATCTGCTGGTCCCAACCCTTTTTTTTGAGAGATTTTTGCTGTAGGGCGCATGCACTCACTGGAGAAATGAAGATTCGGCGAGAAATCACCCTCTGGAGGGATGGCTACCCTACAGTCCCTTCTCTGGTCTCCTCTCAGGGTTTTGTGTGTGCATGGACATTCACCCAGCATGAGTTTTAAGCCTCTGGGTCCAGGACTCAAACTGCAGTTGACTTCGTGGGAGTCAAACAATGTAACCATTACGCCATCTACTGGGCCTGCCATTTAACTTTTCTCTTTCTTTCTCTTTCTTTCTTTCTTTCTTTCTTTTTTTAAGCATTTTTCTTCTTTCTGTAAAAGTTCTTTCCAAATTTTTCTAACCTATATATTTATAACTCAGCTTTGGTGACATATGTGAAAATAAAAGGCAAATAAATTAGATACTGTCTTTGAGAGGTCCCAGGAGGGCTTTTGTTCTGACCTTGAATTTTTTTTTTTTTTTGAGAGATTTTCACTGTAGGGCACGTGCGCTCGCCAGACAGAGAGAGACATAGAGACAGAAAGCGAGAAATCACCCCCCAGGGGGGATGGTCATGCCGCAGTCCCTTCTCCTCCATTCTCCTCTCAGGATCTTGGGCACGCAC